AGAGAACATTATGAAATTATTTTGCTTTCAAATTCTGTCATGAGCTGTGCTGGGCGATCCTTCATGGAACAATTGGCTCTCAATTATAAATTAATTGGAAATGCATAAATCATTTTATTAAAACATGTTTCCTGTTACATTAACATTTCAGAAGACTCTTGGGATTATACAGTACTTCCTCTTCTTGACCTGTCACAATGGAAGTGCTTACCCAGATAGAACGGACTAAAGAACACAAAACCCTTACAAGGATATAAAGTGATTTAATTACAGTGATTAAATAAACAGTAGTATGTGCAGGTGGAACACCCTGGGAACCCTGGAAGGGAAGGAGAGAGGTCAGAGTCTGTGAGGAGTAGTTTGATATTGCAGCTTAGAAGTTTCTTACAGGACATTGGTAGGAGGGTGGCAGAGAGAGGAAGGTGGAGGGTTTCATGTCAGGAGGCACAGGAACCAGGTCCTGTGATCGTACAAGGAAAGCACAAACTAAGATAGTTCAACTCGTAGAAGAAGAACACGAGGAGCACAAATACCAGAAGGTAGGTAATGCTCCAGCAAGGAAGGAAGCACTTCTGCAGCCTCCTATAGTCCTGGTGGTCATTAGTGGGAGGACTGTCAGCTGCAGCTTGTTGGCACCGCCTCTGGAACCAGGAACCTGCAGAAAGAACTGGAAACCCTACATGACCTGCTGAGCTTGAAGCTGACGCGCAGATTCTTTGCCTCTGTTGGGGTGCAGAAAACATGTCAGGTGTTCGAAACAATCTGAGGTGTCAGGCTGCGTGAAGCCGATGGTAATAACAAGAATTACAAGAAGAAGACAAAAACATTTAAATTTTTATTTTATTGTTTTAGTAGCTTTAATGTAATACTGTCTTTTATTTTAAAAGATTTTAAGACCTTGAAGAAAACTGTTGAGGCCGCAGCCCTTGAACACCCCCCACCCCCACCCCCCCAGGGTTTAATTTGTTTTGCAGTTAAATGTTCAAATGAGGTCATTTTAATGTGATCATACACCAACCTGCAACATGAAGTGCTTTGTGCGTTTTTCATTTTATCTATTGTTTTTCTTGGTTTTTTTTATTGGCTGGTGGACAATAATGCTTCTGCCCGAATCTGTGCCTGCAGCAAAATATCTCAAGGACCATTCAACAACTTTTATTGAAACGTCCTTTTTGTTATCACTGGATGCACATCTACGACTTATTACTTGGAGCCAACCCAGTTCAAAATGGCTACCACAGCCAAGCTATACAGAAAATACAAATGAAAACACCAAAATATTCAATCCCTTATACAGAGATCAAGATCATCTGAACACCTGTCCCACTCTGGACTGTCTCCCAGGCGTCCACCTTAACTCTGGGGGTTGGGGTTCTCTCTTCTTCCTTTTTTTTTATATTTATGGTACTTAAAGGGGCTTTTTCTTTCTGTTTCTTGGCCCTCGTGTTTCCTTTGTGACCTCCATCCTGTTTTTCCTCCCTCCTCCCACCCAAGTTGTGTGTGTGTTTTTTCTTTGGGGGATTTCAGGTGCCATCCCTTGAGGGGGGGATTATGTGGGGTTTCTGCTGCGTCTGTATTTTTTTGCTCTCCCCTGTGTTTTCTCTTCCTTGTGTTCAGCCCCTGTCACACCTGTCTTCAATCACCCCAGGTGTTTCTGATTCAGGTCTTAGTAGTTCCTGTATAAAGTCTGGGTCTTTTCCCTCCCCGGGTGTCCGGGCATTATCCTTCTCAGGGCTACGTGTTTCTGCTCATCTGTCTTCTCCTTAAAAGTAACTTTTTGGCTGCCCTGTCAACTCTGTTTTGTTTTGTAAAATAAATATAATTAATTATTTTTACCTTGGAGTCTCCTGCCTCTACCTGCGTGTGGGTTCACCTTTAAAGCAGAAATATGTCGTTTAATTTATTCATGCTTTTTTTTAATTCAGTCTTTAGTTATCACCATTATTGTTTGTCATTTTCTCACTTCCTGACTTACCTGTCCAAACTGTAAACATGCTTTACAATCTGAAGTCTCCCAGTGTTTGAATGGACTTTACAAAAATATGGCACGTGTTTGAAACAACACAATACTTTATTTGATCAACTTTATAACTCTTTAGAAAGAAAATGTGTTTTTACCATCTGTGATAAAAACCTTGTGACACTTTCGTTTCTGCAGACGCCTGCAGTTTACATGTGAAGCAGTAAATCAGTGCAGCATCTGGTTGGCTGGGCATCGTTTTGGCTTCATTCTTGTGCTAAAAACTATTCTGAAGTTCACTTTTCATGCAGCTGTTTGTTAGGTGGACATGCAGTCGTTGAGAATTATTAGTCCACATCATAAAAGTCAGATTTAATTTAAACTCGAAAAAGAGGATCTTTTCTTTAACTTCTGTTTCCAAACATATCCTCACCAAAAATGTTGTGGCCCATAAAATACACTGCCAGCAGCCAAATTAAGCAAGGGCTCAACTAAAACACAAACCCAGACTTTTTTTTTTTTTTTTAACAGGCTACAGTGTAAAAATGGAGTCAATTAAATTGTTTTGGTAAGTCCTAAAAAGTGCAGAAAGAAATCTGTGTTAAAAAAGACCACATTATTTTATCTCGAGCTAATTTTTAGCTCAGTAAAAACGTGAAGTGAAGCTAATGATAAACGTTACAGGGCTCCGTGCACAGCTGAACGGACTTGGCCTCGGACTTGGCAGCTGAGTGGTTCTGACGCTGAGGGCAGATGGTCTCCCTCTCAGGCGTCAGCTGTTTACTGACACAGACGAGGGGCTTACACACACACACACACACACACACCACACACAACCTGAGATTCCACTCTCCTTCTTCACTGGAATTAAAGAAACCAGCAATGAGATGTCTGGTTCATCACAAAGATGACTTTTGTCTGTGAGGGCATGAACCAGTGGAGGTAGGTCAAACCATGTTTTTATATTTTCATTTTGCAGATTTACCTTCACTCGTCAAACTCTTAATGAACTCTTGATTCATGCTGACAGTACAGAGAACTTTCATATTTTGAAAAAATGTAGATTTTATTTGTGTTTCTTTTTCTATCCTTACCACATGTTTCATGTTGCTGCAGACATTGAGTCATCAGAAAGTTTATTTGTTTTACTGCTTGTACAGAGCTGACAGAACTCACCTTCTAAAGCTCGTCTAATTTCTTCTGCTGAGCGTTGGCTCTGCCTGAACAGTTTTAGTAAACTAGAAAGTTCCTGGAGAAACTTTGATGGGGACTGCCATGTTGCAGCCACTTAAAGTTTTTGATTTGACAGTGCTATGTGTTGGGGTTTGCTCTCAGATACCACTATACCAAATTTCAGCTCAATATGGCTAAAAATCAACGCGTTAAATAGTCGTTTTTTCTTTTAAGCTATGGTGGCCATCTTGGATTTTTGATTTGGATTAGTAATATGTGATGGGGAACGTTCTCAGCTATAACCACACCAAATTTCAGTTCTATGTGTAAAAATAAATTAGTTAAATCCATTTAAATTTAGCTTTGGTGGCCTTCTTAGATGTTCTATTTGAATTCAGTATTTATTGGGCATTGCTCTCAGCTACCACCACACCAAATTTCAGCTTAATAGCTCTAAAATTGGCTGATTTACAGTATTTTTCCTTTTTAGCTCAGGCGACCATCTTGGATTTTTGATTTGCAATCATCTATTAGGGATTGTTCTCAGTTACCACCACACCAAATTTCAGCTGAATATGTCTAAAAACATCTGAGTTATATCCATATGAAATTAGCTTTGGTGGCCATCTTGCATTTTTAGATATTAATTCAGAATCTGTTGTGCATCGCTGTCAGGTGCCACCACACCAAATTTCAGCTTAGTTTCTTTTAAAATAGCTGAGTTATCGTGTTTTGTTCCCTTTTAACTAGGCGGCCATCTTGGATTTTTGAATTTATGTTAGGAACGTATAACAACTCGCTCTCGAAATGCCAATAAAAGTAAGAGCACACATCACGGAGCCGAGCCGGTGGTTTTGATATAACATTTGTGCATTAAAGTTGACGGAAGAGAAAGATATAAATAAAGTTAAGAAACCCTTTGTTAGGTGGATAATAATAGGTGGCTGCCTTCAGGCAGTCCTCAATTATAAACTGTAACTGAAGCTAACTTCTTTCAGCTGTTAGTCCCACTATCAGCTGAAAGATATGTCTAATTTAACTGCAAGTGATTATTAATATTGCAAAGTGGTAAAACATAGTTGATAAAAAAATATTAATTCTATTGTTTCATACATTATTTAAAACATGTCATTCTTTTGTTACTTAATTCAGACATTCTTATGAATTTAATGTAGAACTACAGGTTGATCAATGAAAATTCTGTTTTTGTTGAAAATCGTAATACATTTTTAATTTTTAATAAAGTTTTCAAATGGGCTGCTGCTCTGCAGAAGTACTTTACCTTAATAATTTAAAAAGGTCATATTTAGGAGTTTATTTCTTCACTGTGTTTTATTGTTTTAATCTTAGCTCTGAACGTCCATCTCTGTCTGTTTCCATCATATTTTTCTGTAAACAGATGAATATGATGCTCAGAACAATACATCTGAGCAGCGATGGCACTGAGTCATTTCCTTCCCTGCATCCTGTTCTTGAACACAACACAAACTTGGAGAGGAAGCTTAGTTTCCTTTGCTGGTTCCTGGTTTGAGGGAAATAAACATAAAAAAGTCGTATCCTGACATATATTCTCCCACACGGCTTCATACCAGCTAATAAGTCATCTTAAAACATTAATAAAAGTCAAAGTGAAAGAGAGATTTTCCCTGTAGAAACTTATCCCAGGTTGCATTCACTGACTGTTTGTCATGAACGATAAAAAAACAACAACAAAAAAACTCTTTTCTTTGTGCAGGTGCACAACAGGAAGCATGTCAGTGCCTGCTTTGAATCCAGGAGCTTCCTCTTTTCTCCAGCTCCTCGTTCAGGAAGTTCCAGTTTCTCTTCCTCTGTGAACCCAACAGATTCATGTCTGAAGCAGCTTCTCAGCACAGAATCCTTCAAGATGGCCGTCTCTGAGGAGCTCGGAGCTGACCTAACTCAAGTGGATATCTGTACTCTTCAGATTCATATGAAATATGAGGTCATCCCGACTCTCGTCTGCTCTGTCTGCCTCTTGTTTGGACTCATCTACTGCTTCTTTGGTACGTATCCATGATGATGTTAAAATGCCAACATGTGTAAACATTGTAAATTCCCTAATTTAAAACATTAGCTCATCTGGTGGTTTAAGTCCTGAGTGGCAGGTGTCTGCAGGCTGCCAGGGGTTTAGTCTGGATAAGCTGGAGCAGATGGGAGGTTCTGTCTGAGTTTGATCCTTCACGAGGCACCACCTGTTACTCTGAATGAAGTCCTGCTGCTGTCGGAGTCGCAGCTGACACAAGCTCGTGTGGGCTCGGTCGTTTTGTGTTTAGGAACATAAAAAGCTACTTGGATGCATGTGAAACAAACATATGCCTGCTTTAACGGAGGGGAAATGGAGAATTGAAATATCTGCTTCTTAAAATGTGGCACGAAGTGTGTGAGACTCACCTGGGGTGACTGAAGTTCATGCAAACCACTGAGTTTAAAGGTGAACTACGGACTGAGGTGTGTTTCTTCACATGACTTCTGATGTTTTTTGTGTCATGTGTGTCCCGTTCACATGGACCTGCAGACACCAGAGGCCTGCTGTTAAAATTTAACATGAGATATGCAGAACGGTTCACATCCTAACATGCATCAATGTTCATGCTCAATAATCCAGGTACAAAATCCAACAACGTTCAGTCAAGTCATCTGGACCTGACTGACCTGACAAACAGTTTGTGGCTCCTCAGAATGATGAAGTCCTTTGCATGAAGGACAAAACATCTCAACAAAAAAAGCAACCGACTGAACCTTGATGGATTTTTTTACCTGGATTATTGAGCATGACCATGGAGGTAGATGGAGTGAGGACAGAGGATGCAGAGGAGATAGTGAGATGGAGAAATATGACTCGCTGTGGCGACACCTGAAGAGGGAAAAGCTGAAAGAACAGACAGAATTTGGAAGTTGGTTCCACAAGAGAGGAGCCTGATAACTGAAAGATCTGCCTCCCATTCTGTTTTTGGAAATTCTAGGAACCACAAGTAAACCTGCAGCCTGAGAGTGAAGTGCTCTGTTAGAAAAATATGGAACAATAAGATCTCAAATATAAGATGGAGCTAGGTTGTTGAGAGCTTTGTAGGTTAGAAGTAAGATTTTGAATTAAATTCTGGATTTGACAGGGAGCCAATGGAGAGAAACTAAAACTGGAGAGATATGATTTCTCCCACTAACTCCAGTTAAGACTCTGGCAGCAGCATTTTGGATCAACTGAAGACGTTTCAAAGACGTATTTGGACACCCAGATAATAAACCATTGCAATAGTCCAGTCTAGATGTGACAAATGCATGGACCAGTTTTTCTGCATCATTTTTAGATGTGTCTAATTTTAGTGATATTACGCAGGTGGAAGAAGGAGGTTCTAGTAACATTTTTAATGTGGGGAATAAAAGACATGTCCTGATCAAAAATAACACCAATATTTTTAACATTAGAGCTGGAGGACAATTTAATGTGATCCAAGGAGGGAGAAAGACTGAAAAATGTATTCTTAAGATCTAAAAAAAGTTAAATCTGGTCCTCTGGACATTCAAAAAAACCACATCAACTCTGTGGATAAATACATCAAGTTCACACGAGAAGATGAAAAAAATGGCAAGTTGGCTTTCTTGGACTGTGAGGTCTCAGTCTCTGATAGAGGACATTTGCAAACCGAGGTGTACCACAAACCCACCCACACAGACCAGTATTTGCAGTTTGACTCCCATCACCCTTTGGAGCACAAGTTAGGAGTCATCAGGACTCTGTACCACAGAGCAGACAGCATCCCCACTAGCTCAGGAGCCAGGCAGAAGGAGAAATCCCACACAAGACAGGCTCTAACTGGGCCTTCCTGAAAGCAGAGAAGAAACCCAAACAGGACTCCAGTCAGCCAACAGGTGAAAAGGAGGAACCCAGACCCAGACCAGTGGTCATTCCATATGTTGAGGGAGTATCAGAGAAACTGAGACGTTTATTTTCTAAACATAACGTCCCAGTGGCTTTTAAACCCCAAAATACATTACGGCAAAGACTGGTTCATCCCAAAGATCCAGTCCCCCGGTACAAACAGAGTAATGTTGTGTATGCTGTTCAGTGTCAGGAGGGCTGTGATCAGTCTTACATCGGGGAAACTAAACAGCCACTGGCCAAAAGGATGGCCCAGCACAGAAGATCAACATCATCAGGCCAGGATTCTGCGGTCTACACTCATCTCCAGTCCAGCGGTCACTCTTTCAAGGATGAAGATGTTCACATCCTGGACAGAGAGGAACGATGGTTTGAGAGAGGAGTAAAGGAGGCCATCTTTGTGAAAAGAAATCGTCCATCGTTAAACAGGGGTGGAGGCCTCCGGGTTCAACTGTCCCCCTCTTACAGTGCTGTGATTGCTAGTATCACTCAGCCCTCTGTGAACAGTAAACAGCCATCAGTGTGCTAATGATCCATTGTTAGGCTGATGGTCCTTCTTGAGCATGTGATCAGCTGGTTTTGGTTGTCAGCAGCAAAACTGGTTGATCCACTCTGAGAAGGTGCTATTTAAGAGACTGAGCTGAAAACAGCTCCTCAGACTGAGGAAGTCTCTCGGATGAGAGACGAAACGTTTCTACATTTTTTTGTTGATTTGCTTTGTTTTGTTTTTTTGAATGTCCAGAGGACCAGATTTAACTTTTTTAGATTTTTCTACCTGGATTATTGAGCATGCATCAGGTTATTCTTAAGATGCTCAGATCCAAAAACCAAAACCTCAGTCTTGTCTGTGTTCAACAAGAGAAAATGTAGAGTCATCCAGGTCACATATCTCATGAACAGCTTGTTGGATTTGTTTGAAACTCACAGAAAGTAATCATCAGATGTATCTCTAGAACTGATTAATGTTTGGAGCCATTTTGATTCAAGATGGCTGCCACAGCTACCTCAGCAAACACAAAATTGACTATAACTCAATCATTCTTTGAGATATTGAGATGAAATTTGGTATGGTTTTAGCTCAGAGTGAGTTATTATCTATTCTTAATGAAATTCTAATATCCAAGATAGCTACCTTAGCTAAAAGGGAAAAAGCATGACAACTCAGCCGTTTTTAGAGGTATTCAGCTGAAATTTGGTGTGTTGGTAGCTGAGAGCAATGCCCTTTAAATGTAGAATTCAAATCTAAAAATTCAAGATGGTCACAAAAGCTACATTTAAATGGCTTTAACTCAACTATTATTACACATACTGAGCTGAAATTTGGTTATAGCTGAGAATGTTCCCCATCACCTACTGAATTTAAATCAAAAATCCAAGATGGCAGTATTAGCTAAAAGGGAAAAATTACAATAACTCAGCTATTTTAAAATATATTAAGCTGAAGTTTAGTGTGGTGGTAGCAATCCAACATGGCCACCATGGCTTAAAAGAAAATGACTATAACTTGTTGATCTTTTGCCATGTTGAGCTGAAATTTGGTGTGGTGGTAGCTGAGACTGAACCCCAACACATAGTACTGTCAAAAAAAAATAAAAAATTTAAATGGCCGCAACATGACAGTCCCCATCAAAGTTTCTCCAGGAACTTTCTAGGTTGAAGTTAAAATTTTAGCCACTTGGGCAACTTCCTTTGGTACAAATGGAGCTTCAGAAATTGTTGCAGATGAGGCTGAATCTGAAACGTTTTCCTTCTGCTTCCCAGGGTACCGCTGCTTTAAGGTGGTCATGTTCTTCTCAGGCTTCATGTTTGGTTCTGCAGCCGTGCTCCTGTTCTACCATAAAGAGCCCAAATTGAACCGCCAGCTGGAAGCAGAGACCAAGGCGGGCATCGGTCTGGGAGTGGGCGTGCTGAGTGGACTGGTGACATTGATGGTGTCCACGCTGGGACTGGTCCTCAATGGCCTGCAGCTGGGAGGCCTGGTCTCCCTCTCCATGCTGGTGATTGTAGGACAGTTTTACAGCCTGGCCCCGGTGTGGGTGCCTCTCTGGGCCATCATGGCTGCCAGCATCTCCACTGCTGTGATGTCGCTGCAGTGGCAGAAGCTGTTCAGCATCGTCTACACATCTGTGTTCGGAGCAACCACCGTGATGTTATGTGTGGACTTCCTGCTGGGGACGTTCACGCTGCCTGATCAAGTGCATGATATGTTTAGTGAAGTCACTCCACGACCCCTTTGCTGGTTTCACTGGATGATCGCTGGACTCGCTCCTGCTCTGAGCATCACATGCGGGCTGGTGCAGTGGTGTGTGACTGCAAGGGACTTTTCACACACAGAAAGTGAGTTTCAGTCCATCAGTTCCAGTTTGTTTTATGAGATGTTTTCATCATTAAATGCCTTTGGATGCTCCACAGCTGCACATGAGAAGCAGAAGAAACACCTGAAGCACAAATGTAGGGACTCAAGGAGAAGAACCTACCGACAGCGCAGGCCTCCACCTCTGAAGCGTTACGCTGGGGATGTCCTTGCCCCGGTGAGTGGAGTGGAAAGCTTTGATTTATTTTTAAAGTTTGAGTATTTTCCAGGTGATATTCAATAAGGTGATGGTGTTTGTCTCACCTGTTGGTCTTCCAGAGTTACCTCCACAGACTCCAGGAGCATCAGATGGGAACAGGCTCCTCCACCAGCAGTATCAGCACCATCACACACACTCTGATGGACCTGAACTTTGACACAGGCTCCATGGTGCCTCTGACCGCTGCCTCCCCCACCTTTACAGTCTGAACAAATGCAGTGGTGTCAAGAAACTCACAACGACACAAATCTGGGACAGCGGCTGTGAGAGCCTATTGATTAAATATTGATTTTCAGAGGCTCGATTTCACAGAAGCTCTTCAAGCATTTCAACTTCTGGCTCCAGTCCTGTTGTTGTAGAAGTGTGGACATTACTTCATTAGTTGTTACAAAATGAAATGATGCAACGTTCCGCAGCCATCAAACTCAGGACTGCAGTTCCCTTTGAGCAATTTGTCTTCAAACTGTCCATCCATCCATCCATCCATCCATCCATCCATCCTTCCATAATTCCATCCTTCCATCTTTCCATCCATCCATTATCTTCTGCTTATTCCGAAGTCGGGTCACGGGGGCAGCAGCATGAGCAGGGAGGCCCACACATCTCCAACCATAGTTACCTCTTCCAGCTCTTCTGGGAGGACTCAAAGGTGTTCCCAGGCCAACTGAGAGACATAGTCTATCCACCGTGTCCTGGGTCTTTCCCGAGGTCTCCCTCAGTTGGACATGCCTGAACCACCTCAACTGGCTCCTCTCGATGTGGAGGAGCAGCGGTTCTACTCTGTGTGTCTCCTGGATAACTGAATTTCTCACCCTGTCTCTAAGGGAGAGTCCAGCTATCTTAAAATAACCGCCTGTATCCATGAACTCAATCTTTTGGTCTACCCAGAGTTTGTGACCATAGTTGAGTGTAGGAGCATAGACTGACTGGTAAACAGAGAGCTTTGCCTTACAGTTCAGCTCCCTCTTCACCACAACGGACCAGCACAGAGTCCACAATACTGCATTTGCTGCACCAATCCATCTGTCAATCTCATGCTCCATTCTTCCCTCACTTGTGAACAAAACTCAGAGATACTTGAACTCCTCCACTTGAGGCAGAACCCCACCCTCAACCCAAAGAGAGCAATCCACCCTTTTCAGACCGAGGACCATGGCCTCAGATTTGAAGGTGCTGATTCTCATCCCAACCACTTCACACTCGGCTGAGAACCACTCCAGTGAGAGCTGAGCATCACGGCACGATGGCTCAACAGGACCACATCATCTGTAGATAGCAGAGAAGGAATCCAGAGGCCACCGAACCAGACTCCCTCCGCCTCCTGGCCTCACCAAGAAAGTCTGTCCATAAAAGTTATGAACAGAATTGGTGACAACGGGCAGCCCTGGTGGAGTCCAACTCCCACCCTGAAGAGGTCCGACTTAATACGACAATCTGAACCAAACTCTCACATCGCTTGTATAGGGACCGAACAGCCCGTAACAACGTCCCCAATCCCATTGTCACAGAGTCTTCAAACCAGATGAACAGAATCTAACGTTACTGAACATTTTTATTCACATTTTCTCCATTTGAAAGAGAACTGTTCACATCACCGGACTCTTTCACTTCAAAGAGTAAAGACGTGTTTTTATTTATTTGGTTTCATGAATACAAACAGGAATAATGAGTGACATTTCCTCTGCAGCATGAGGTCAGAGCCACCGTACAGTTTGACAGTGGTGTAAAAGTTTTTAAAATTGGATTTGCATGAATTGCTTTAAAACTTTGAAGACTTATTTTAGGAGTTGAAATCTTCTGTAAAGTGGATCCACTCAAAAGAGCCAATAGTTTCTCGTCAGTACTTTGTGAGAAGGGTTACTTGTTGGAACTAAAAAGTACAAATCTTTCACACCTCAGAGCAGCTTGAGGAATGATTATTATTTAAATCGTTGCATCACCATCACTTTTGCATTAAACTGTTTTTTCTGGCATAAACATTGTGATCTTCCTGAAGGAAGAGCACCAGGATGCACTGGAAGTGCTATGGCTAGCTGCTGCTGCTATTTGTAATTTTATGTAAATATTGCAAAATGCCCTGAAGGTGTGTGAAACTGATATTTATATTATAAAACTGATATTTCTAAGAGATAAAACCAGTGTAGACTTTTGGAGGTTGGAGTTTGAAGGCGGTTGGTTACTGACCAGCCATTGGCTCATCAGTCCAGTCAGACACAAACTGCTTCTCGACACGTTTCCACAGAACCCCGTTTACAATCAAGTATCCTTCTGAGAACGTACCAGCATGAACCTGTGGAAAGCAAAAAAGTCTATAAATGTTTGATTGTTGTTCTGAAAGTTGTTTTAAAAGTTTAAAAAAGTTAAATCTGGTCCTCTGGACATTCAAAAAAACAAAACAAACAAAAAAAATTAGATTTTTCTACCTGGATTATTGAGCATGAATCAGGATGTTTTAAGAGTTTCACTTCCATACATCCATCATTCATCTATCCATCCATCAATCATTCGTCATCCATCCATTATCCATCCATCCATCCACCATCCATCCATCATCCATCTATCCATCCATCATCCATCAATTCATATATCCATCCATCCATCTTTATCTTTATATTTATCTGTTTATTCCTTTTCAGTACTGTATTTTTATTTATTTATTTTAAGAAAAAGAAAAAACCTCAGTCTGGTTATTTTGTCATTTGGTGTTTTTTACTTTGCAAATACAAAATTGCAAAGAATACACTGTTATTTAAAAATGAATTAAGTGTTGAATCGGTAACGGCTACCACAAAAAAAAAAAAAAGGTTCTGATTCAGTCCAAGAATATTATCTGTTGCTCTAAGAGCACGTCTATCTGCTCTTTTTCTCTTTATGTTTGAATAAATCCAATTTTTACAATTATATTTTCAAGGACTCAAGAACTAAAAAAAAACCCACACATTTTTATGAGTGATTGTGACCAAACTTTAACTTTATTGTAACTCGAGAAAACTCATTCACCCATTTTGAAAGAGAACTGATAATTGAGTTTTTTTAATGCTGACTCATGTTTAGATTTTCATTCATTAATTCATTCATCATTTAAGTAATAGAGAGATTAATACACTTCAGGCATTTTTCTTTGTGTGGATCAAAAAAGCAGCAAAAGTAAGCACAGGAATTGGGAATCTGATGTTTTTTTTTTTTTTATCAGTGTCATTTGTCATCCAGAGAACCCTGCCGGCTGATCCAATCCGCCTGCATCCGGTCTGTCCGTTTACGTATGTGAGGCAGACTTTCTCAGCTTCTAATCCTGGATCCACCTCACCTAATCTGGACTTCAGATAATCCAACCAACAGAGACACCTGCTCGAGTGAAAGTAGGGTGGACTTCAGAGGAAACTGTGTGACCGTGTCAGATGTTTTTTTTTCATTTGCTACGTTGATTTAAAACCATCATACATTTGAGGTTTGCACGTGTAAAGACGGTTTCTGGGAATTCACAGCAGTCTGGCTTGAAACACATCAAGGAGGTGCTATTTATAAGACAGACCACGGTGGCAGGCCTCAGAGTTATTAAGTATTTTGGATGAAAGACGAAACGTTTCTTCCAAAAAAGAATCTGTCCAGATGTCATGATGTAACGTTTTTGTTATCCAGAAAAATATAATTCACGTTGTTCACGTAATGAATACGCACACAGCGGTACAGTAAACAGTCACCAGTTGCCTCAGTGTAACACATGGGAGTCTGCGACAGTCTACACAAAATAAATGTAACAGAAATGTTCTAATAAAGAGATCAATGAGTTTTATTTGTCACACGTTTGAGTAGAAATGAGCCACTGCTGTGACTGTTGTTATGGTAATAACAGCCGAAGGTGACAGTTTCAAGGCGATTTGCTCTTGGAAACATGACAAATTATGAGTGAACAGGTAACAAATGCAGATGTTGACCTTCACACCCACACGTCTCTGTGGTAAAACTGAATCATTGTGTGGCTCAGGTCAGTGTTGGATCTCTTCTGCTGCCTGGTGGCTCAGTCATCACACTGCAGCCAGTGTGAGGCCGTGTCCACGGGGTAGTTCTTCTCCACCGCCTGCTGCTTCTGATTTACACGCCAGTGCTGGCTGCCTTTAAACACGTATGTATAGCCATCGGTCCACGTCACGGCAGCATCAACGCCACTGGGGACCCCCTTAAACAGATCCCTGATGGGTCTGGGGTAAGAACGAAGGTCTGTAGGACTAATTTCATCCCAAGGCCAGTACCCTGAACCCTGAAATGAAGGAGAAAATATTTTAAAACAAGGTAGATGTTCAGTCACACTAAAATATGATGAAATAAATCAGTTTCTTACTTTAAAAAAGACCAGTTTTTTGACATTAGGAAGGTAAAAGGCAGAGTCGACGTTTGCAGGGATGCTGGTCAAACGTTTGGGGAAGCCTTGGTCAAGTTTGAAGCCGGTGTATCTCCACACTTTGTCTCCTGTGAAAGGACGCATGCAGGGGAGATACGTAACACAAACGCTGCAATAAATTGTGCAAAAATGTAGATTTACTTTAAAGCTTGCCAGCATCTATAATAGATTCACCTTTGAGAAAGTAGGACTTGCCAGTCCTCGGAGAGTAAACGGCTGCATCGATGATCCCCGGCAGCTCCTTCCACAGCACAGAAACCACGGTGGGGGAGTTGTACCCAGAGCTGGACATCGTCCACACGTACTGTCCACTGAACATGTATGTTTGATCTGAAGGGCCTGCAGAGACACAATGCAGGACAAAAAGTAAAGCAAAACATCATAGGAAGCATGTTTTAACTCAGGCTGACGACGTTAGAGTCTCTGTACCTAACATTACTGCGTCCAGGCGGGCATTGCATGGATCCGTTTTAACGCCTTTTGGAACCACCTGGTTTGGATTTGTGGGTGGAAGACTCTTCTCTGGCATTCCTGAAAAGGAACAACTACTACATGTTGCATGAATAGTGCCTCAGTCTGAACTATTTTTCCCATGTGAAACACTCCTGTATTATTTACCGTACAAAGCCTGGATCCCTCGAATGTCATCTGGATGCAGCCTGAAGTCTGTGCGATACCCAGCGTATATGGGTCCCATCAGTGCACTGTAGTACTGGGAGTGGCCGAGGCCAAGAGCGTGGCCGATCTCATGCGCTGCCACGATCCTCAGGTTGGAGCCGGAGTTCTTCCCTTCCGTCCACAACTCGTCCTCGTCAAAGTGAACAAGCCCTGACTCGGGGGCATCAGCATGGGCTAAAACATGGCCTACAGGCCGGAACAAGGATTCAGGATTATTTATTGGTCACTTTGCTTAATGAAAAGGTTAGTCTAGTTAGGTTTGAAGTGATGGTCTAATAGTTATCAATAGTCCCTTATCAGCTGTGACATCCATCATTGACACGGATAAAGAGGCAAATGTAGGGCTAGGCTAATGACTAGTGAAACTACAGAGGGCCCCCTTTTATAAACCATTTGTTAGGCTTTTAAAACAAGTCTTTCTAAAAACAGCAAATGTTGTGGAAGGTTGCTGCATTAAACCTTCACACTTTAGCACTGTTTGTTTCATTTGTCACCATTTTCTCACCCCAACAGCTGTTACCACCTGAATGTAGAGCACAGATAAACTGTTGCCTGCTGACAGTGTTGTGTGTTGTGTTGTGATTGTGCAGTATGAAGGAGTTGAGTAAATTTTTGGACTGACTAAGGGGGACTGATGTGCTCGCAGCCGAGGCATCATCTGGTCTATGCTTCAGCACAAACACGTGTTGTAACATCATGTTGTTTGGCTGAGGAAATGGTGACAAACTAAACAAAAGGTGTGTTGCAAAAATGTAAAACTTCAATATAGCATCCTCTCACACATGCATGTTGTTGTTTTATGGAAGAGTTGTTTAATAAGCCTAGAAATACAACAGACTATGGAGTAGCTAGCCCTAATCCTAATGCTACTGGATGTCTCAAAATTTCCTCCTATGATTAATAAAATATCTATCTATCTATCTATCTATCTATCTATCTATCTATCTATCTATCTATCTATCTATCTATCTATCTATCTATCTATCTATCTATCTATCTATCTATCTATCTATCTATCTATCTATCTATCTATCTATCTATCTATCTATCTATCTATCTATCTATCTATCTATCTATCTATCTATCTATCTATCTATCTATCTATCTATCTATCTATCTATCTACCTATCTATCTATCTATCTATCTATCTATCTATCTATCTATCTATCTA